TTGTTTGATTCTCTAGCCTCCTTGTGTGTGGGATTTGGAGAGAACGAACGAGGAGGATTTAGGAAATAATGGGGGAGAAAATCTGATTTTTAAACATTTAAAACGCCCCAACTAGGTTCGGACGGCCGTCCGAATTTTTTTTCTCCTTACTGGTTTTGGGACGGCCGTCCCACATTTACACCTATTTTTGGGACGGCCGTCCCACAGGCAGTGGTGCAATTTGTTTTTTTTTTTTTTTTTTTTTTTTTTACGGACGGCCGACTCGACCCTCGATCACGTTTTCGACCCTGAAAAGTAAAATTCAAATAGTGAATTAGAATGCATGCTTATGACAATAAAAAAAACGAAACGAAAAATTAACGAAAACTACGAAAAACAATAAAGCTCGGGTTGCCTCCCGAGAAGCGTTAATTTTAAAGTCTTCAGCCAGACTTTGCTTGTTGAAATTTTTATGTCCAATCCAAAGCCTTGTAGATTTTGCATCCATCCATGAGCTTTTTCACTTCAATTGCAACCGATACAAGGATAGGATTGCAATATGTCATGGTCCACCTTAGCTTGTAATCTTTCTTGGTTGTAATCAATCGGTACGAACCCAAGATGGGGTCTTCATCACCCACTCCCTCAAATCGGTACACAAAAACCTCAAGTCCGCGTATAACCTCCACTTCAAACACATTCGTCTTCTCATCAACCTCTATTGATGCCTTCAAAGCCACGTCATGAACAACAATAATATCCTCAATTTTAATATTTGCACTAACCACATCCATCTTCTTCTTCTCTTGTTCCGAGACATCTTTGGAGTTGAGCTTGATTGCATTCTCATATTCATCATCCTTAAGCGTCTTCGTAAGTTCCTTTTCCTTCTCATCGACAATATTTTCTAGGTCTAAAGGATTTTTCTCACTACAAGTTGTAGACGGATTTTCTTTGTTGCAACCATTCTCGATATTGTCTGAAATATTTTCAAGAGACCTTTGGCGCTTGAATTCTTCCAACTGTAACTCCAGTCTCCGGATAGATGCTTGAGTGGATTTCATAAATTCTTCAAGGACGGAATTCAAATAACACTCCTGAACAGTGGGCTCTCGTGGCGTGCTGGTGTATGTGTTCCAATAACCGCCGTTGGTGTTATCTATGAAATTATTCGCTTTCGGTGCATACCAACATTGGTTAGTGTAATGATCTCCACCACATCTTGAACAAAGTAAAGGCATATTATAGGTATTTTGGAGGTATTCGACAGACGAAAGCCATTCATATCCCGTTTGAGTTTCGCGAAAATTGTAACCTGACATGTAACCAAAGAAAAGAGAAAAAAAAATATTAAAAAAAAATTAATTTGGGTGAATCGTGAAAATTGTTCAAATTTAGAGCTAGAATAAAATAAATAATTAAAATATTCCCCGGCAACGACGCCAAAAACTTGTTGGCCGAAAACCTACACGCAAGTGCACGTATCGTACAAGTAATAAAGTGGATTTTTAAGTCCAAGTATCGATCCCACAGAGAATATTTAATTATTTAATCCTAGACGCTAAATTCTACCAATTGTTTTCAAGCCCACCCTACACAGTCGAATTTTGGGAGAATTAACTAAATTAAACTAAATTAAAAAGCAAGCAAAAACAAGAAAGCAATTAAAAACGAAGATTTAATCAAAGTAAACAAGCCTAGGATTTTATTCTTCCCCTATGTGATTATTACTCCCCCAATTCCTTCAATTATGCAAGCAATTAACCCGGATTATTAACCTGAGATGCTAAAATAATCATAACCCGCTTCCGCGTGTATTACAATTCTAATACTCTAGATTCAATTACTATATTCCTATGCAATTAATTCTAGAACACATCATTAAGCACAAATCTCAATAATGGCTACCTAAGAGATTAACTATATTCCTATGTTAATACCACAAATGCTCTTCTACTACAGTTCTAATTATTAACCCGATCTTCCGATTCATGCGATTAACAATAACATAAAAGCACATAAGTTGATCAAGTTCATGCTCTTAATAAAACAAGTAGAAGAAATAATCCGGAGTTAAAACTTGCATAAAATCATAGAAAAGGGTTCATACATCCCACATAGGGTTCCAAATAAAATCCTAGAAATAAATACTTAGCTACTCGTAATTCTTATGATAAATAAAATAAAATAAATAAATTAAATAAATAAGAAAAACTATGCTTGAATCTTCGTTGATCTTCTTTGCTCTTGAATTTGCGTCCCCAAAAAAATCCTCAATTGTGTGCTTGGCTTGGTCTTATATAGGGTGAAGAACTTGGGGAAGAAGACAGTTTCCTTGTGCAATTATAATCCCTTTACTGCGCAACTTCGGAGTCTCGGACGGGGGTCCCACAATTTGCACTAAAACTGGGACGGGGTCCGAGGTTTAAATCTTCAGAATTTTGATATTTTCACTTTTGACCCATATTTTCACCAAAATTGCAGTTTTGACCCCATACTTTTCCAATTCTTCAATTTGTACCTAAAATACAATAAATCAACTTTTTAAGCACCAATTATCGTTAAAACACACAAAAAGCCCAAATAAAAAGGTACGATAAAGTGTAAAAATATACACTTAACACCCGGTCCTTGATTTCCCAATCTCGTTCCAAAATTAGGAAAGTATCTTAAGTTTTCTTCCCAATCCAAGAAGGCTGTGTGTGATGTTATAGCAAATGTTAAGGTTCCCAACGGCTATGCATCTAATATAGCCCGTTGTTTTGGTGAAGACAAAATAGGGGGATTAAAAAGCCATGACTACCACGTACTAATGCAACAGTTGCTTCCATTGGCAATCCGTAACGTGGACTTACCAAAAAAGTTGGCTAGTACCATAATCCAGTTGTGCAATTTTTTTCGAGAATTGTGTTCCAAAACTAACTCAACTGAAGATTTTCGAAAACTGCACTCCGACATTGTGAAAATTTTGTGTGATCTTGAGAAATTATTTCCTCCGGCATTCTTTGTTGTTATGATGCATTTGCCGGTTCAGCTAGCTCATAAAGCAATGGTTGCTGCATCGGTGAATTATAGATGGATGTATCCGATAGAGAGGTACTTAATTTATTTAAAAATCTAATTTCTTTACGTAAATTATTGATATAGTTATATTTTTTTTTTATAAATATTTATTTCAATCTCATATACTTGGGTCACTTGAAGTCATTTGTCCGAAATAAAAAGTGCCCCGAGGGTTCAATTGCTGAATGCTACATCACTGAGGAGTGCTTAAACGTTTTCTCATTGTACACAGAAAGTTCATCTATGAACATTTCTGTCGATGATAGGCAAGGCAATGAAGTGCGATCTAAGTACAGAACCCTTACTTATGATGAAATGGAAAAGGCGCACAACTATTGTCTTTTTAACTCTGATGAAATTCAACCGTACATTGAGTAAGTTACTTATAAAATCTTTAAGCTACTACTATTTTCATTTGATTTTCATCCAATAAAAAACACAAATTATTTTAGGGAGCACTTCGAGACCATTAAGAACAAAATCTCGACACGTGACCCTGCTTACCAATGGCGCATTCAGCAATTACAAGACAAATTAAAGAATTTCGTCATTGGTTCCAATCCTACGTAAGTGTTTGATTTAACGTGAACTTAGTTTGTAAATATTTTGAAAACGTAAAAATGAATAATTGGTGACTACATAGGTGCAAGGAAAGAGTGAACTGAGAGACGATATCAAAGCTTTAGCTTGTTCTCCTCAATTTAGAGTGAAGACTTTCAAGAGATTGAAGTGCAAGGGTTTATCTTCCGCACAAAGTCATCTGAAGAGTCTCTTTCAACTCAAAACAATGGTGTTTTTGTCAAAGCAAAGACTACTTTCGCGAACTCCAAGGATAAATCTCCGAAAGAAGAAGACGTAGGGTACTATGGAGTAATAAAATATATTATTGAACTTTCATTCGCCGCAGGTACAAAGAGGGTAGTTTTATTCGAATGTGATTGGGCTAATATTCGCATGAACAAGACGGACGGTTTGGGCTTTACACTTGTGAACTTAACAAAGCCAGATATGAAAGCAAGTCCTTTTGTTCTGCCATGTCAAGTATTGCAAGCTTTTTACGTTGATGATCCACGTGATAGGCCATGGGTGGTTCTGATTGTTATTAAACCAAGAGACAACTTTGCTTTGACTCCTGATGATCTCAATGTAGTTGAAGATGAATTTTATGAGATACTTCCTATAAATAATGACGTAAATGTTATAGATGATATGGAAGAGTCACTAATTCTATTTGTTGTTCTAATATGTTTTTGAAGTCTTGTTAATTAGCTTGTTTGGATTGTAATCTACTTGTTTTAATGTTATCATTTTATTTGCCATAATTTATTATTGTTTTCAATTTATTTCTATATATATTTCTGTATATGTGTATCTTATTTTCTTTCTCAGGCGAGCAATGCCGGCGGAAGATATTTATGTTGAGCCTATAGGTGATGAGTCTACAAGTACCGATATAGTTGATTTGGAGTTTGACGGTATGGGTATTCCCGTTGCACCCGGGAGGTACAAGTTGGCGGTGGCAATTAGTAATGAGGTTACACATTGGGACAATTTTGATCCGTCTATTTCATGGCCTAAGCACAAGAAAGAGGGTCGTGTTGAAGGATTGTGGAAAGCGTTTAAGGTATTTGAAAGTTCAAATTATTTTATTTATTTCAGTTATTATAATTATTTTGTTATCAACTAATTATGGAAGTTTTTGTATGCCTTTTAGGGAACGTGGAAACTTCCTGAAAATGAGGCTACGAAGAAATGGTTTGACGAGACGGCTAATTGTCGTTGGAAAGATGCAAAAAATAAAAGATTGAAGGCGGTTTTTGATAAAGCGCCTAACCTTGCAGCTGCTAAGGCAAATCGTCCGAATAGGATTAGCGCTCAAACTTGGGAGAGGCTATGTGATCAGTTTCATTCTATTTCTACTCCGGGGGATGATGGGAAGGTAAATTTTATACTTTTAATTTATGATTATATTTTCATATATTTATGTGTATTAATTTGTGCAATATTTTTCACAGTCCAAGTCCACTAAATGCAAGGACTCGAGAAAGAAAGTGTCGACAGACCACCATTGGGGTCGAACAAGTATCAATAGTTGGTCCTATAATCATGTAAGTGGCTTAATCTACAATTTTAATTTATTTAAGTTTATATAAAATACCTACTTATTGTATAATCTATTTTTTAGTTTAAAAAGTTTGGCAAAAATCCTACCGTGTTTGATACGTATAAGAAAGCCTACATGGGCATTGATGCGTTGAGGGAAACCGGACCATCTATTAGTGAGGAAGGAGAGACAGAGCCGTATAACGGGACAACAACTCCTCAACAACTTCTCATTTCGGTAAGTAAAGTGTAATTATATTCTTCAATCGGTAGTATGTTAATTCTTTATATGTTTAGTTGGGATATATGGATATGGATGTGGTTTTTATCTATGAATATGGATATGCTGTTGTGGTTTATTATATGGATATTTTAGTTTATCATGTTAATTGTTTGATATGTTAATTAAGTACGAAGTTTCGATGTGTGGCTATGGATTTTTTTTTTAATATGTCAAGTTGTTGTGTACTGGTAAGGATTTTTTTTGGGTATGCTCATAATTAGATGTTATGCTGTGGATTTTTTGGCTAAACTTTTGTACATAATCATTTTCAGGCTGATTTGGAGCGAGTTTATGATGAGATCATGCGTGATGGAAGTGACGAAAGCATGGCCAACTCGACTGCAATTGAAAAGGTTTTGGGAAAGAGTAAAGGCCTTGGAATTAAAAGTTTAAGCACAAGGATTGGAAAGTCGAGATTTTCTTCAACACCATCAGACGTGGAGATTCAAATGGAGATTCAAATGAAGGCAATGCAGGAACAAATGCAAATGAAAGACGAACAAGTGAATCGATTGGAACAACAATTGCAGGAAACCCGAGAAACAATGCAAGAACAAAATAAAGTTAAAGATGAAAAATTTGATCGATTAGAAGAGCAATTGCAGGAAACCCGAGGTATTTTGAACACCTTGCTCGATCGTTTTAATAGTGGAGTATAAAAACGAGATGAAATTAGTGTGCCTTTTGAACTAATACATTTTTGGTTTCAAGTTTTTATGTAATTTTTGAATTAATGTTTGTTTTGTATTTTGATATTTAATTGGTAATCGTGGTTTTTAATATTTTTGAGTAAATATGGTTTTGTCTTTTTATTTTTTATTTTTTTTAACAGCTGATTTTATTTTGTAATCAAAAATAATTAAAATAAATAAATTAATTAAAAAAAAAAGTTTGCGACGAAAACAAAATCGTCACAAAAAAAATGAGTACTTGAGACGAAATATAATTCCGTTAACGTCGCCAAATTAATTAAAGCCGGGCGACGAAAAAACTATTTAGTCCGCAAAAGATTCAGTGAACTTGCGACGAAATATGAAATTTCGTAGCAACAAGTTGCGACGAATATGCATTATCCGTCGCAAACAATAATTTTTTTTTTTTTTTTTTTCAGAAAATACGGTTTTAGCGCCGAAGTTGTTTTTTCGTCACCAAACTTGGCGTCGCAAATGTATTTTCGTCGCTGACTTTGCGACGGGGCGTTTGTCTTCGATTTTTGACTGATATGGCGACAAAAATAAAACGTCGCTAACGGTGATAAAACGTCGCTAGGAGATAGATTTCGTCGCGAATTTCCATCGCCAGTCTTGCGTTTTGGCCTAGTGATGGTATTAAACTTGGTGGTAATGAAGTGAGAAAAAATTGGTATTAGATTTAGCCGCCCCATAAAAATATTGTCATTTTATATATGAGTGGTGCTATTTCCATCTCCAAAATATCTCAATTCACCACCAAAGATATATAAAATATCAAAAATACCCCTCAAATTTATAATCCACCACCATTCCCCCCATGTGTTCTAAGTTATTTCTATTTTATTTTAATTTTTATTTTTTAATTTTTTTTTGTTTATTTGCAATCAAATATTTATTACAAGATATGTAAACTTCTTATCAGATGACCTACATATTATGTAACTTTTTTTAGGAAATGGAAATATATTAAGTCAAACTAACCAATTCCATAGGAAGTTCAGGATCTTCCATACAAGCACTCTTAATTTATTTCTCCAAGAACGTGAATTACTGCTCCTTTTGACCTTTACAAATGTTTTTCTCTGAAGAAAATATTATTCACTTAAGGTGGAGAGGTTGAGATTTTGTGGTAAAAAATCCAGTGAAAATGGTAGTGTTTTTTTTATAAATATTTAAATTAGTTTAGTGGTTGACGGTTTATAAATTTGTAAAACATATAGGTGAAAGAAGAAGAAAGCGGTAAAATAAAAAATATATTTAATTTAGTGGTGAAATAAGATATTTTTAAGGTGGAAGTAGCACGTCTCTTATATATGCATTTCGTGACAACTTTTGATGATGTTACAATTGTGGTATCACTAATTCCATTTTTTTTCTTGTAGTGATATGTCACCAAAATTTTTTTTGTTTCATATTACTTGGCTTCGCGTGAGAATTTCGCAATTCTTTAATTCTTGCTTTCTGTTGTGGAGTTATACGACTAGTTGTACCTTGTCCGTGAGGAAACAAAGCCGGACGATGAGTATGCTTGCCATCGCTGACAGTCAACCGCCATAATTCATCAAACCTTGACTTTTTGCCAATCAATTTGAACAAACAACCACATTTTTTCGTTCCAGTGTTTCTAGGATCTTCCACATCAATATTCGTTTGTCGGTCATGTCCGTATTTGTCACACGTCAAGTACTGTGCATTCTCCCTTCTAGACTGACAAATCACATGGTGACAGTGACTAACTGCAGTTGCTTTCGCCCAGTTGATTAATTTTTCCCTACTATCGAACACAATATCAACTTGGAAGAAGTGAGAGAAATATTCATATTCATTTTGATCCAAAACCGAGGGATCAAAATACAATTGTCTTCATATGGCTCCATAAATAAAAAATAAGTTAGATACTTGCAAAAAAAAATAACAATAATAACTAGGGATTTCGTATAAAAGTACACGGAATTAGTGTATACATTTCGTGTAGTAATGCACGAAATAAATAACAAAACAATTTACTGTTGTTTCGTGTGCTTTTACACGATATAATAGCTACAATTTCGTAGTATTCTATACGAAATTACTGGAAAACACGAAAATGGTGTTAATTTCGTGCAAAACACCACGAAACGACTTGAATAATTTCGTGATATTCTACACGAAATGACTGAAAATCGAAAAAAAAAATCATGTAATTTCTTACCTCATTTACGGGATCGATGTTGGCCATCTTGATAATCGTTGGGTTTTAACTGATTTCTACGAAATCAAAGCACGATCTACAAAAGTCGAAATATTTAGAGGTTGAGAGGATTTCGTTAAAGGTTAAAGTGTTTTTTGACAAATGAATTTTTTTGCACAGAAGCTAGAAAAAATTGCACTATGAATAGTAAACCCCATATTAAATCTCCAATTACACTCTCCGCATTAATAGTATATATTGTATCTTTTATTAACTGTATTTATTTTTATAAAATCAAAACACATTTATTGAAATTCTTAAAATTTGTAAATATGTGGAAAACGACATATAGTTATAAACTGGAGTACTATATTGCCCTTTTACAAATGTGAACATGAACAATGTATTTACCATATGCATTTATTGGTGATATTTTCCGAATATAATGGTAACTATTCTTCTGTAACAATTCAATTATTTTCGATTGGTATACAGTGGTATGCTAATTGGTAATTTTGTTCCACCTCTGTCCTCTATAATGAAATATGCACGTGTACCTTCTCAAAACACACCTTTTCCCTTTCAATAAATATTTAGTAAGTGTTTGTATATTTGGATGGATACCGATGTCCAATTTTGTAAGTATACGAAGAGAAAGAGAAGGAATGCAGCTCCAAGCAACTTCTTCTCCAACCTTGGATTAGTAATATTAGTGTTTTGCATTCAATATTATTATGTCAGACAATAGTTTTGTTATTAACACAGTACTTAAGAGAGAAAATAAAAGTTTAAGAAAGAATTCAACGCCGGAGACCGGCGGTTGACCAACCTGAAAAATTATTCAGAAAAAAAATACTTTCAAAAAAAAGAAAAGGTCAACGTCAGAAACCGGCGTTCTCCAGCGGCCAACGGCAGTTGCCCGGTCAGAAAAAAAAATATTTTCAGATAAACAAGGTTTTCAAAAAAAAACAAAAAAACAAAAAGGAAAATAGTCAATGCCAGAATCTGGCTAGAAAAAAAATTCAGAAAAAAAATTAATGAATTAAGAAAATGGGCGTTAATGTGATATATTTGTTCATATTCGGGGTCAATGTGCAACATTGATGAAGTTAGAGTATAATGAATGGAATTGACGAAAATTATATTATGAAGGATATTTTAGAGAAAAGAAATAGGGATGAGTTTATTTGTGAGACTATTATTTGTATGGACTTATGTACATTGAAGTTCATTGTCATTGTCTTATCAAAAAAAAAAGTTCATTGTCATTGGCCTATTTGTCATTTGCCCTAGAATTTAACAAGAACTTTATAGTGGCAACCAAACAACAATTTATTATAACGTTAAATATATTATAGGCATCGAATATCTGCAATCCCAAATTTTCTAAGGCCAAAACCTTATTTGGTGGACGACCATAATATAAATAAACGTATTTAGAGCAAGATTGAAAATTATAAATATAACCCCAATATTGATTTTAATATTATTCATTCAAGTTAGACCCAATTACTATTGCAAGACCCAAATGATATAAGGATTATTTCACAAAACCCTCTTATTAGACTCCTCTAGTTACAATGAGTCCAAAAATTATTCTCATTTTTAAGTTAAATCCAAAACATTTTTAATGAATAAAAATTAATATAATTTCAAAATTATACCATTCTTCCTATTTTATATAATTCTAATATTTAATATTAATTTATAATACCTAACCCACCGCTCAACTATTTTCATTACTCCGTTATTCTTTTTTCTAGGTTTTCACCATGGAAAACCTTATTCTGAAATTCAACTTTTTTTGCCTAGGGTTTCTTGGAAAGGGTTAAAGGTGTAGATTTTAAATGCCTATGAAAATCTGTTAAACGAAGTTGTAACAGTTGTTGTGGGAACAGTATGCAGTTACAACTACAATTCTTGTGTTAACACCGTTATAAAACTACTGAAAGCGAGTAAACAAACACAAGAATTTTAATGTGGTTCAGACACAAATGTGCCCTACATCCATGTGGACTTGCAAACACGATTTCACTAGTTCA